GCTGATGTGATCACCCATCTATGGGGCGGATCTGAGATTAATGTTAGCAAAAGGATAGGGCCTTTTAACCTTATCCACTCTAGGAGACCAAATTCAAATTAGATTTGAATCTGGTAACCTCCTGATAAGAACAGGAGTAAGCTAACTTAATCTGCAGATAGGATTAAGATCATCCCCTATCCAAATACTGATTTGGATTGGAATAACTCCTAATTAGGAGGTTTCTTAATCAAGAAGAAATGAGGAAAAACCCTAAGAGAAAAACATCAGATTTCGAAGGGGTTTTGAGAGAGCAAGAAAGCTTCCTGCGAATTGAGATTAGATCTATATCACACTCCAGAGAGAAGAGAGGCAATTCAGCCATTTTTGTCCCAGGAGTTCTCCTCCAGCCGCCGCCATTACTTCTTGCAAGATTCGATCTTTGAAGAAGAAAGAAGTCAAGAAATCAGTTCTTGACATCAGTCTTGCCGAAAAGACTGAAAAAGATTCGGTGTTTAGAGTTTCCAGAGGATTCTTGCGAAGAATCCAGTGTGTAGGACGCACTCTACTGGTTCTGTTCCACCCACAACTATGTCATCTTCAGCAGGAGCGGATCTTGGTTTCTTCTTTGGGCGTGAACACCAACTTTGAGAGATACTGCTTCTCCGGATCAGGTATATTCCTCCCTTTTCTTTTTGGTTCAGATCTGGTTCGATTATGGTTCAAGTAGGATCCTTGAACATTGTATTCTAAATTTAGGGAATATGATTCCCAGTTGGAAGAATGTAGGAAATTTTTGAAATTCGCCCACCCATTCCGCAACCTTCTTGGCGTCCATTAGATGGATCCTACCATTCTTTCAGCTTATGCTCCTTTACAGATACTTCGACGCCCTTCATGCCGGATTTTCCAGGTGACCTTCAAAGGGGCAGCCCACTGATGGTTTTCCGGGCTCCCTCCCCGCTCCATCAGCTCATGGGAGTAGTTCACCAGCCTCTTCCTCACCCACTTCATTAGCAGCAAGCGATGGATGATAGAAGAGCGTCATCTCCCTCATGGCTGTCTAACAGAAGTGCGGCGAGAGCTTGCGGTCCTATATCGATTGGTTCAAGAAAGAGGAGCTTGAGGTCTGAGACCTCGACTCCATGGTTGCCATGCACGCCACCATCAACGGCCTCCTCCTCGGCTCCGCCCTCAAGTGCTTGGTTGCCAAGACACCACCAAAGTCCAAAGCAGAATTCTTGAAGAAGGCCCAAAAGTACATCGTCACTGAGGAGGCCTCGACTGGCAACCGATAGGAAGGAGAGGTTGACCAGCAACCGATAGGAAGGAGAGGTCGACCATCATCACAGATTTCCGGAGAAGAAGAGAAGAAACGAAGACGGCCACAAGAACAACAAGGATAGCAAGCCACCGGCCTCGGGCTGGGCTCAAGAACTTCCTCCCCCTCTACCACCTCGGGAGATCCCTCGGCCTCCCTAGGAATCATCGACGTGGCTCTCTCACAAGGAGAGTCATCTATCCTTCGTCTACACTCGACACCTATAGAGGCAGTCCTCTCCCTTAGCACCTTGACCTCAAGCCTCGAAGCTGGGATCTCGGCCACCGAAGAGCCTCGACTGGGGCTGGCTGGTGATGGGGTCCGATAGGAGCTCACCCCCGAGGGGTCCGGGAGGTCATAGCATTCTGGGCTGGAGTCGGAATAAGACATGATGGTAAAGGAGTGTTTACCTAGAGAAGATGAAGACTGGAAATTTCTAAGGAAAGAAGGTAAGCCAAGGGCTCTGGGAAGTGAAGGTCACTCGAAGGCAAGGACGCTTGGAAGCAAATGGTGGAAGAAAATGCGACTAAGGCCCCTACTAAAAGGAAAATGGACGGTCTAAATTGCATCCGATCCAATGGCTGCATAGCGACTCCCTTTACTGTCCTATCTAGCGACCGACACGCATTGCTTGCCTAGGGAAGACGAAATGACGCCGAGCGAGCCAACCGATTTCCTCGCCGCATCTACCGGTTCGACCAACGATGCTGAAGCGGAAAATGCACGACCCGACCTGCCTAACTCCCGTCTCTCCTAAGGGTGTGACGCCACGACCCGTCGCGAACACGGATCTGACCTGCTAATGCGAAAACTCGTGTC